AGTAATATGTACAAGACCAAATTTGAGTTATGTCTTAGATATCAAAGTAATCCATGCATAGCTCATTGAAAAGCAGTAAAAATAATTTTAAAGTACATTAAGGGAACAAAGTATTTAAAACTATGCTTTCAAGCAGATAAGATTGAAGTTATAGGATATTCATATGCAAATTTTTCTGGGGATAAGGACGATAGTAAATCCACCTTAAGACATATTTTTCTCTTTAGAGGGGAGACATATTTTTCTTTTTAGAAGGGCAGTTGTTTCTTAGTCTAACAAGAAATGAGGTTATGGAGCTAGGTACACACAAGAAGCAGAATACATTGTATGTAGCACTGCTTGTACTTTCACTGTCTGAATAAAGCGCTTTATAGATAACTTGAAGCTGCAAATAATCGACGGACCCATTCAAATATTTTGTGATAATCAAGCTGCAATAAAATTAATTCAAAGTGAAGCAAATAGCTCCAAAGGAATACATATATATGTTCAATATCACTACATTCAGGATGTAGTTGAGAAAGGTGAAGTAACTGTTAGTTACTTACCCTCATCAAATATGATCGCTAATCCATTAACTAAGGGTCTAAGTGTTGAACTACTATCTAAGCACACTAGTTTAATGAGACTTAAAAATGTCTAAGTCAATCAGTTTTTCATTAGTGACAAATCCGCATTAGCATAAAAATCCTTATGATTGACATTTGTTATGAGAGGCATATCCACGAAAGTGTAAAAAAGATCTTATAACAAAATTTTTTCTTAAAGGTCATATTCAAAAGTGGGAGTATGCACTTGACTAATTATTACGCTCAGCCGTCATGGCCAAGTGGGAGATGTTAACACGTATGGTCATAAGGTCTAGCGTGACTGTGCCAAGGCTAGAAGGCTAACAATTGTGGAAGGAATCATCTGCATATCATATCCAACGTTCACATGAACCAACGTCCATATGAACATTGGATGGATATCCCTAAGATCAGGGAAGACCCTTTCTCTGAGATCCGTTGAGAAATATAACGGATAGCTTTTCTTCTTCATTGAGAAGAAGAACACAACAAATATATATATATATATATATATATATATATATATATATATATACATATATATAGAATTTCATATGTAAACACAGAGCTCTTCTTCTCTCTCTCAAAAAGGTAAGAAAAATCCAGGCTCTGTGATCACCAGCCTCATGGCATCTGTTCTCTAATATCGGGTTGGTCTCGCGCTCCATCAATTTTTGCTAACACCAATAGGCGCTACAAGGTTGTGGAGCCACTTGGTTTTTGCTTAATTCAATGGGGATGACGAGCCCTTACCCATTTTTTTAAATCGTTAGTAGTTTTTTAATGCGTTAAGTAAGAATGAAAGCCTAGACCTTAGCAGGGGCACATGTGGTGCTACCATCACGACCCCAACCCCAACCCCAACCCCATATTCGTTGTGGAGCCACTTGTGGGTCAGCATAAGGGTGCATCCTAAAAAATATTCCCACACATACCCAATCTTTTCTCACCCCTACACAACTAAAAATTTTCAAAAAAATAAAATTTAACATTTCTAAAACAAATGCTTTGATGTGGGTAACACCTTTTAAAAGGAAAACCCTAACGAGTTTTACAACTAGGGAAGGGAAAAGGGACCAGGAAACTGACAGGAGTTTTGAATCCAAAAGTCCAACGTTCAAGGGTGATTCAAGGTTAGATGAAACTAGGGCCATCCTACAGCCTAGAGAATGGGAAGATGGTCGCGGCTCCAAAACGAAAGGTAGAAGTCTTTACCTCGTCATGGGACAACTCAATGTCCAAGGGACAAGAGTGATGTTGGGGGAGATTTTTGAACACTCAAAAGTTAGGAGCTTTCCTACCAAATTTGATGGAAGTGTTCTAAGCCCCTACAAGATGTCAAAATCTCATGGTGACTTCCTTTTTTAGCGTGATTATAAATGGTTCGAAATGCTCAAATTTACTGCTCAGATTTGCAGCAAGAATCTCTTGATTTCAACATCTCATACCTTCCTCGATATTAACCCAAATGAGGTGAGACTTGGAACGTTTGGTTTGCCTTTGAGTCTACTATCAATATGCCAAGTTTCAGGGATGAAGCACTTGTCAATTGGAAGTGCATTCATTAACTGTCTCATAGGCTTAACCGATGGAGTCGCGGATAACCAATTTTCTCAAATTTCTCACAACTCAATCTAATCAAAACCAGTTGGTTTTGGACATATTCAAGGGCTTGTTTGGGTGCATGGATTTTAGAGGGAGAGAAATGGCCAAAAAAAAAAAAAATCAGAGAGAGAAATATCTCGTTTTTTAGATAGAGAAATTATCTCGAATTTTGAGTTTTAGAGAGAAACTATTTTGAATTTTGAATTTTAGAAAGAGAAAATATATTAAAATGTTTGAAATATAAATCATATCAAATTTTCGAGAGAAACAATCTAAAAATATTAGAGATAGATACTATCTCAAAAATTTTGGAGAGAGAAACTATCGTAAAATTTATGTTTTGGAGAGAGAAAGTATATTAAAATTTTAAAGAGATAAACTATGTCAAATTTTAAATAGAGAAAGTACTTGAAATTTTTAGAGTGAAAAACTATCTCAAAAAATTTTATAGGAAGAAACCATCTCCAAATTTAAGTTTTAGAGAGAGAAAATATCTCAAATTTTAATATTTAGAGAGAGAAAGTATATCAAAGTTTAAAGAGACACTGTATAAAATTTTAAAGAGAGAAACTTTTTCAAAATTTTAGAGAGAGAAACTATCTCAAACATGAAGTTTTAGAGAGAGAAAGTACATAAATTTTTTTTAGTAAAAACACAATCGCAATAGAGAGAAATTATCTCAAATGTTAGCTTTTAGAAAGACAAAGTATCTTAAAATTTGAGAGAAAAACTATATCATATTTTGGAGAGATAAACTATTTAAAAATGTTTAGAGAGAGAAACTATCTCAAAATTATTGAAGAGGGGAACTATCTCAAGTTTTATGTTTTAGAGAGCGTATCTTAAAATTTTAGAAAGAAAAACTATATTAAATTTTAGAGAGAATAAATCACCTAAAAATTTTAGAGAGAATAAGTCACCTAAAAATTTTAGAGAGAATAAATCACCTAAAAATTTAGAGAGAGAAATTCTCAAAATTTTAGATAGCCAATTTCAAATTTTAAAATTTGGATAGAAAGTATATTAAATTTTAGAGAGGGAAACTTTCTCAAAATTTTTGTAGATACACTATCCCAAATTTTGAGTTTTAGAAAGAGAAAGTATATAAAAATTTTAGAGAGAGAAATTGTATCAAGTTTTGTCACCAAACAATGGACATGGAAGTGATTGTAAGGAATCTATGAATTTTGTATAGTTTATCCAAACAAGATATTTGAGGAATCTATCATAAAAATCGTTCATATTGAAAATCAAAAGATTTTTTTGGATTTCAAATATCTAGGATTCTTGATTTCCTCTTATCCAAACGAGCCCAAAAAGAATTCAGTTATAATCAATATATATCCATCTGAGCATCCTAAGGGGCATTGGAATTAGGATTTTATGATTTTGAATTGCAAATTGTATAAGGGAAAGGTTTCTATACTTCCCCTACAACATATAAGTTGTATCCTCCTCGTATCATCCAGGCGCCCAATTTTGATCAAGAGAGCCACCCACCATTTGATCTTAGATCCGACATCTCAAAGTATTTTATTTTTAGTTTTTTTTATATACAAATTTGGTATGTGTCATGGGTGCACTTATAAAAAATATTAAAAATAATATTTTGATAAAATATAATAACTAAAATACCCTTTGAATCTTTCAGGGGTGGTATTTTGGTCATTTTATTTTATTGAATCTTGCTTTTTATAGTTTTCTAGTACGAGTTTAATAGAGGAATGGACGCCCAAAATTTGGTGTCAAAATAGTTTATAGAAAAAAAATTAAAAATAAAATAATGTAAAGATATGACATTGTGATTGGGGCAATCTTACCCCTCCATTCAGAATAGACGGTTGGATAAGGGGGAAGATAGAACTTCTATGTTGTAGGGAAAGTATAGAAAGCTTGCCCATATACAAATAGGATAAAGTCTTCTTAAAAAAAAATAAAAATAAAAAATCTTAGCTTCAAAATAGCATGAAGCGTGGAGCATACTTGAAGCAAAGGTAGAGTGCGGCTTTGGTTACATGTTTTCGAGAGAGAGGAAGGAAGCAATGGGGGGACTCCAAGGACATATATTTGAGAAAGAAAGGAGAGAGAAGGAACTAGAGTTAGAGTAGGAACAGGGAGAGCGCTCGTCTGAGTCCTTTTTTCGTAGATCAGTGGGGAAACAATCTCCTACCCATTGTACGAAAAAAACTCAAGACGTCATGTTCTAGTACCCATTGCCTTCACTACCTATAAGTATTCCCCACTCTCTTGACTACCTATGCAGTTAGGCCATTCTTAATGACCTCACTCAAGCAGAGGTCTTACTTATTTTAAGAGGGCAAATCAGGTTGACTTCCAAGATCTTATATGTTAGATGTTCAAATTTTAGGCCCATTTTTTTTTTTTTGAATTGTCTACAAAAATGCCATTTATCTTTTGTATATGGAGGTTACAAGCATTCATGTCTCTTAAATTTTAAAATGGGTGGTTTTAAGAGTGCCATTGAATATACACAAATTCAAGGAGTGGAATTTAAGAGACATTTTTTTCTATTAGATGATTTCTATTCAATTTTAAGACACAAATTAGATGATTTCGATTCAATTTTAAGACATTAATTTTTTTTAAGGCCTTAAAGAGTGAAACTAAGCAATATTTTTGATTAAGGCTAATTTGTGTTGAAAAAGGTTATATCCCAAAATTTTGGATCCTAAAACTAGTGTAGGTGGGGTTTTATCTGAGGGAGCAAATGGACAGTTTATCCCCGAGGGAGTAGAACAGGTTTTGTGTTAAAACCGCTCTCGGGCATTCGATTAAATGGACGGCGGACAAGTTTTCTTACTACTTTTCCTTTCGCCATGCGGCTATAAGCTAGCATGCTGTTTCAAACCATAATGATCAACATGGTTAACAGGGAGAAATACTCTATTTCCACCTCTTACAAAGCCAGCTCTGTTGTCTTTGTTCTGTTTAACTGTTCATAGGGTTTTAGCATGGTTTGTGTTGGTTCCAAAACCCTAAAATTCAGAAAAACTAAATCCCAAAGCACAGAGGAGATGAAAGAGCGGAGGAATGAGCGAAAGGAGAGGAAGAATGTGAGGAATCATTGGAAAGAGGGTTTCTCTAAAGTGAAAGAAAACCCTGCTTCATTACCTTCTGGAAAGTCTTCTCTGAGGTGACTTCTTTCTTACAGTGATATTACTTGCTACAATTATTTGGAGTTTTCGATACGACGACGCGGTGTTATTTTTTTTGGTTAACTGAAGTATATATGGAGAGTGTGTCAATTTCAAATTAGAATTTTTCTTTTATTTTTTGCATTCTTTTTGGATTAAATGAAGTGAAGTTGATTCTAATAGTGGAATTATTCAATTGCTCAGTTTCTTGGAAGGTTTTCTATCGTTTTTTTTTTTTTGAGAATGTTAACCTAAGGTTTTCTATCATTTTCGAAGGATGTTCCGGTCAATTTCCTTTCTTTTTGGATTTTTGGGTCTCATTACTGGTTTACTGTGTCTTGAACCACCTGAAACCTAGCGTTCATAGGAAGAGCTCCTTGGCATTAGTCTATGATGCCAAAACGCACTATTTTAATATTCGTTGAAGACCATTTCATGTCCTCATATATGTGAATTTTCTTTTTTAAATAAAGTTTACAAATTTAAAGCGAGGGTGCCTTATTTCCAAATCCTGATATAATCTCTAGTTAATCTCTTAAGAAGATGACATAGAAAAACGAAATTGTTGTCACATGGTGCCTGTCTGTGCATGGTATAGGCAGTGGACCAGGGTATTAATAACATTCGAGGTTGTTTTCAAATGTACGGGAATGGGAATTGGTCTTTCTGAACATTATTGTCATACTGACTCTGTTCATCTATCTATCTTCTTGGCACTTGCCCTATGACCTTCAGACCCCCCCCCCCCCCCCCCCCCTCCCCTCCACCTTGAAGATCAAAACATGTCTTTGGAGGTACAAGGATATAAGGATTTGGTGGAGTGCTAGTTGTCAAAGAGCCAAGCTGAAATTGGGTGGGCATACAACTCTCCAAGAAGCTATAGGCACTTAACATTAACCAATGGAATAAAGAGGTTGTTGATCACTTGGGGGATAAAAAGGAGTAGCTATTAACCTATCACGTGATCTTGTAGACTAAGGTAACAAGGAGGAAGGGGGGATCTTGTCTGGGGAGGAGAGGATCTATAGGGTCATGATTAAGGAGGAATTCACTATAATCCTCACGCATGAGTAGGCCCGTTGGAGGCAGTTGTCTAGGGTGAGATGGCGTGGAGAAAGCGAATGGAGCACTAAATTATTCCACTGATTTGCTTGAGAGAAGGGGGTGCCGTGCTGTTCTTTTGATTGAGGTGGATGGTGTCACAAATGAGGACCCAGAGTGTTGGAAAATTCAGTGTCGGGGTTCTTCCAAATGCTTTATACAACAGAGACTGGAGGGGACCTATTCTAGATGGTTATGGATGATTGATTTTGATTGTTTACCAGAATGGGTAGCAGCTGATATCGATGCTCCATTTAAGGATGACGAGATCTGTGATGCTGCACTTGGGTAGGAATGTGTCCCAGGGCCTGCTGGGTTCACAACTTTATTTTATTTTATTTTTTATTTTTAAAAGACTTTTGGGGACAGCTCAAGAATTTATCTTTGATATGTTCATTGAGTCCTTTGATAGAGGAACTATCACAAGGGAATGGAGCTACTTTCTTAATCTTAATCCCAAACTTCTAAATGCTAGGGACACAAAATGACTGTAGACCCATTAGTGTGGTGGGAAGTTGTATGTAATTATTGCTATGGTTCTCGCTTCTTGGCTTTAAGGGGTGCTAGACTTTGTTATTTCACCTCCCCAAGTGGCTTTCATTCAAGGTAAGCAAATACTTGATAGTGCTTTGATGCTCATGAGTGCATTGATTCTTAGCATTGGCAAGGTGTCTCAGTCGACGTGTTGAAGGCATATGGAGAAGGTCTATGATCATGTAGATTTGACCTTCTTGGACTATGCAATGGGGATAATGGGTTTGGCTATAGTTGGAGGAGATGGATCAGAGGTTGTTGTAAGTGTTTGGTTCTTGTTGATTAATAATTAGGCCTTAAAGGGATTCTTCCCTGCCTTGGGAGGCTTGAGGCAAGGGAATTCACTTTCACCATTTCTGTTTATATGGGTGTCTGCGATCCTCGATCGTGTTATTTCTTGTGCATCTGTCCATGTGTATCTTACTTTCAATTACCCTATGACACCCTCATTTTTTGTGATATGAGAAGTGAGCAGATTGACAACTTGTGGTTCATTTTAGGGGGTTATCTGGCAGTCACTAAAATTAACTTATATAAAAGCTCATTGGCGATGTTCGTGTGGAAAGGGAAGTTTTTGAGGCATTGGTCATTAGATTGATAGTGAGGTATCCTCACCTCCAAGCTCCTACTTGGGCCATCCTCTATGCATTGGCAAGCCAATGAAGAGACTGTGGGATGTTATCCTTGCGAATGCAGAAGAGTAATTTCGTTGTATTTTGGAACCAGCATAACTATATTTAAGGGAACTGTAGCGAACATGCTTAATGTGCCTCTTACATATGCTTGCTAGTGTGCTAATTATTGATTGGAATGATTTCAAGGCGACTTTCTCTGAAATGCTTCTAGTGAGGGCAAATTTCATTTGGTAAAATAGGAAGAGGTTTGTTAGCCCGATTATGAGAAAGGCTTTGGAAGGAAAATAATAACTATTAATAAATCATTGTTAGGCACAGATGAAAAGTTTCCATTGTTGGATAAATGGTTGTGGGGGATTGGAGAAGAACTGGGTATGTGGAAATATGTGGTTGAAACAAAGTATATGGCTTCTCAATTGGGCTGGGGGTTGAGAACACTTAAGACATACTCTAGGATGTCTGGTGTGTGGAAAGCTATCTAGGGTGTTGAAAGGGATTTTACCCTGTTTATACATGGTTGGTGATGGATCACCAATTAGTTTTTGGCATTTCATTCGGTATAGGCCCATGAGGACCACATTCCCTTCAGTCTTTTGGATTGCTGCTGATCTTGAGGTTAATGTTAAGGACTGCTTTGGGAGGATCGCAGGTGGTATGCTGGTATCCCCACTTTAGAAGAGACCACAAGGATGCTAAGTTGGGTGATTTCTTGGCCACCATGAGAGTGTTGGAAGAGATATACATTCTATTGCATGGCTTGAATTGGAGGATAAGGAATTTGGATAGCTATTGATCATTCACAGCGAGATCTTATCATAAAGTTATCTGGGGTGATTATAGATTGGTGCGGAGTATTCCGGCCCCACCCTGGGCATGCTGATGCCATAAAATTATCATGTACCAGGAGATTACTAAAGTGTGGATCACTTGTTGGTACAATTCTGTATTCATAGTTATCAAATGCAGCCATATATCGTATTATGTGGCCAAATCAAAGTGGTAGGGCCCTTGCCCTCATGCATAGAGATGGCTATGCAGGCTGGCATGACTAGGCTGCACATGCGGGTGTATTATACGGTGTGATGTGCCTGCGCATGTGACTCTTGCTTGTGGGTGAAATAATTATCACAAAGCATGGGCATTGTTGTAATTTTCACCCCAAAGTAGAGGGAAATGGGTATTGGGAGGTTATATAACACCCTTTGTTTGCTTCCTTATCAATAGATCTAATTGTCTTTATTCCAAAGTTTCCCTCATGTTTGGGCTAACAACCACTTATCATTTTATCTAAGGAAATCTATGACCCTCACAATAAGCATTTCAAATAAAGTACCATGGAACCATTCCAATCATAATTAGCCTCATTACCAGACATCTGTAAGAAGGACATAAAGTACAACATTGTGGAAAGATGTGGTAAAAGCAAAGTATGGGGCTTCTCGACTAGGCTAGGTGTCTAGTACTCCTAAATGATACTCCAGGATGTTAGGTGTGTAGAAGGTTATCTTGGGTATGGAAAGGGATTTTAGCCTGTTTATGCGATAAGGGATTGGTGATGCATTGCTTATTAGTTTTTGTCATTTCACTTATTTTGGTAATGGCCCTTGAGCATCCCACTCCCTCCCGTCTGAATGATCTGCTGATCTTGAGGTAAGTGTTGAGTGACTGCTTTGGGAGGATAGCAAGTAGAGTATGTTGGTATCCCCATTTTGGGAGAGACCATAAGGATGATGAGTTGGATGATTTCGTGGCCCCTTCGAGAGAGTTCGAAGAGATATACATTCGATTGCTGACTTGTAGGGGTACCATTGTTGTGGAGTATTCCAATCCCGAACACTCCTTTTGGATGGGTGACTTGTAGGAGTACCATTGTTATTATGGATCAGTTTTAGAGGATGGGCATGGTGATGTCATCCATATATGTATAATGTGCCAAGAGGATACTGAGAGTGTGGATCACTTGTTGCTACACTGCCCTATTCATAATTATTAAATGTGGGTGGGGCATCAAAGTGGTGGAGCTGTTACTGGCATTGCATCTAGATGCCTATGCAGGCTATCATGACACGCCCACGTGTGGGGTGGATCACACAATGTGATGTGCCTGCATATGTGCCTCTTGCTTGTGGGAAAAAATAATTATTGCAAGTAATCAAGGGTTTCAGTGGCAAGGAGATTTAAAAGCTTGGGATTTGAAATTTATCAAGTTACTTAGTTGCTAGATGCTGATTTAATTTTTAAGTGCTTGATTGTTATAATACATATTCTTTTGTATTTTATTTAATTTCATGAATGGGTTTGATAGGTTGCTTTACATGTTAATTGAGACAAAATGTCTTTGTTACTCTTTATCCAGCTATCAACAGCCTAGACAATGGATATATTGTTGTCTTTATAATTTTTTTGTTTTTTTTTCTTCATGTTAAATTTATTGACTACATTGAAAAGGGATGTGCCCACATTGGGGCACATAGCACATTGGACCCCCTAGCGCATTGAGTTCACATCCTGCATTTGATGGAGCTGGCCTTATTGTGCTTGTACTATTTAGGCCTACATCATGGGTTTCTTTGGTTTAAGCTGGGAAAAGTCGGTCTTTGTCTTGTGCTTGTTGTCTGGGTGGGTTTTGGGCCATTTCAGAGAGGAGACATTGTTACAGCAGATTTATCTTTTCGGTCTTAAGAAGTATATGGTTAGAGCATGATATTCGAGTCTTTTGGGCTACTCACACTAGGTGGAAGGCCTTAGAGACATGGTCTGGAACCTGGAGAATATATGGGCTATGATTAGAACCGAGTTGAGAGGTATAAGGCTTGTGAATATCTTCAGAGAGTTGAAGCTGGTGGCTCTTAACACTACTACCACCAACCTTCGCCCACCTAGATGGTTGCCTGCAAGATTTGGACGTGTTAAGCTAACATTCAAAGGAAGTCTGCAAGGTAATGTGGGCCTGGTGCCTATGTTATGGAAGTTCGTGGGCTAACCCTGGTCTGGGAGGTATCCTTAGCAATGCTTAGGGATTCTCATTACTGTTTTATTCATGACTGATCTATTCATGTAATTCCTCATTCGTCGAGGCTAAAACTCATGTGCCTCAAGCTTTCTTTACCATTATGAGATGATCTGCTGATTGTAGAAGGCAATTGCCTCAACGTTATCACATAGGCTCCTAAGGGGGCGGCCTTTCCATTGGGAGTTATTGGATTTATTTGAGGGGCTTCTCGCTCTGTGTGGTGATAGATGTTTTCTTTCTTTATCATGTCTGGAGCTATGCTAATATGGAGGCAGATACATTGGTGAATATTGAGTTGGGACATAATGTAATATTGGTAGAGGGCCTCTCAACTCTCGGAGCTTCCATCTTGACATCTTTGGACCACATTTATTCTTTCTTTCCTTCTCTCTCTCTCTCTCTCTCTCTCTCTCACTCTCTTTTCTAAATTGACTTATCAAAAGAAAATGTGACGTTATTTTTAATCTTCTAGAGGCCCTACATTGATTTACTTCACAGTCTACATTTCTTTTTGGTTTTATTTCCCCTTTTTCATGCACGTTGGAATGAAAGGTATTAGAGGGAAATATATGTAGGCTACAGCAAGCCGACCCTAATTAATTGGGAAAAGGCTGTGATGATGATGATGATATGTAGGCTACAGCAAGCCGACCCTAATTAATTGGGAAAAGGCTGTGATGATGATGATGATATGTAGGATACAACTTTCTGGAGGTGTTTGACCTATTTTAAAAATGTGATTATTAGTTTTGTCCAAGGTTTACAAAAACGGATCAGTGACTCAGATTGGCCACCCCAAAACCCATGTCGGATCGCTGCATTGGCGATCCAGATCAGGGAATTGGCCAGACTTGCCAAAACGGCTCGAAAAGTTTTCAAAGAATCACTAAAAATCTCTAAAAATAATGTTTTGAGTTTTTTTTTTTAAAAATTGGGGTGTACATTATGTAGTTTCATTATTTGCAAAAATACGTGATTATTAATTATAATATGTTATTATAATATTGCATCAAAATGATGCAAACATATTAAAAACAACTTCCATTTTATATAATTAAAAAAATAATACCCCATTATAGTTGTAAATTAGATTTTTTAAATTAGATGATATTATAAGACATTTTAAATTTATTCTTATTTGTATTGTAATAATTCCAACTTCAATATATAATATTATAGTTAGTTAGGTTGTGATAATTTGGGACGAGTAAAGAGAATTAATAAATGTTTGATGTGATATTGATTTCACTTTGTTATAATAAACATGATTCAAATTGTTTTAGAAAACTCTTCCATGGCATATGATTTAAAATAGAAATAAAACTCGTTGTGAGTTTCAATGTTATGACATTAAAAAAAACTATTCAGAAAAAGATATTTCCTAAAAAATTGAAAATAATGATACAAAATTCGAAAAAACTTAAAAAAAAAAAAAAAAAAAACAATTGAACCACATATCATATGCATTGTAAAGTTTATTTTGCAAAGTGGCGATGTACATTAATCCTAATGAGTTAGTATTTGTAAATAGGCATTATACTCCTGAAGGAGTATAATATCCTTCATCAAAATTTTTTTTTTCTTCATAAAAAAAGGAGTATAATATCTTTGGTTTTATATGTAAAAGAAAAAAGAGAACGATTTTTTATACACTAGACAACAATTCATAACTATTAATGCCTCCACTCTCTCTCTCTCTCCCCTCTTTCGTTTCCTATTTCTCTCTTTCACAATACTCATCTCCCTCCCTTAGTCTCTCTTATAGTATTCATTTTAGTTTGCATCACCCATCACCCTCCCTTTCTCTCTCTCTTATAGCACTCAGTTTAGTCCCACATGGAACTTTTCTAAACAGCTACTTGGGGTTAGAGCTTATAAAAGAGGTGTGAGGGACATGGGAAGGCATGATCGTGTGCTTTCCAAGTATACGTGGTGGGCCACCTTTTAAAAAGGTGGCTCTTAGTATGTAAGAGTTATAAAGTTCAAAGTTTGTAAGAAAGGGGTGGGCCACCTTTCAAAAAGGTGGTTCTTAATATATGGGAATGGCCCCACTATGTCCCCTCTTTTAGAAAAATGAAATTTCAACGGCTAGCGTGGCGTTACGCACATCCGTTTTCTTGCTTGTCTTCACTGGCTCGAAAGCAAGAAGCAACGGCTAGCGTGGTGCTAACGCGCATTCGTTTTCTTGTTGGAGTGCTCTAGTGCCCAGCAAACTACAACTCGAAAGCAAGAAGTAACGATTAGTGCGGTGCTAACACATATCCTTTTTCTTGCTTGTCTTCGTGCCTAATGTTTTTAAGAAATATGGGCGGTTCATAAAGAATAGTCCGATTCTCTTGGAGAATCGGTAGAGAACCGGCCAGCTCTGTCAGAGAATCGGCCTATACAGGCCGGTTCATAGGGGGAGCCGGTTGGTTCCTGACATATTATAGGATTCGGATTGGTCCGATCATTTCCCGATCCGGATTGGCTAGTTCTAGTCCTGATCACCAATTTTTTAAACATTGGTTTGGTCTGTATGACCACTGACTCTAGTGATTATGGAACTGTTATGAATTTGTTTTAATTGTGTCCATGATCGTTGTCCTTAGTGGTTCCTTAGTGGTTGTATGAAACAAAAGAAGATACCATCATTAGGAGTTTGAACCTTGAGTAGTTGGGATAATTTGAGAATGGGCAACATGTAGGGGCTGTGGACAACTTCTAGAAGCTTAAATGATTTCCGTTGGATGCATTAACTTATGTTCGTTACTTTAGGGTCTGTCTTTTTGGGTGATAAGATGGAGATCAACAAAACTAGCTTTTTCTGTACAAGTCATTTTGCTATTTGTTTATGAATTTGAAAATTATTAATTGGACATATACAAGAGTTAAAGATCATCACAGGGCATCTATGGTACCTTTTTCTTTTCAAAGGTTAATGATGCCTTAATCAACTCTGGTGATATGCTTATAACTATGTGTGGTGAAACCTTTGTTACAGTTCAAAGATCCCGCAACATTGGTGCTATTCTTGCTCGATATACTTGTTCCCACTAATCTGAAGCTCAAACTTGTGGAAATCACATTAACTAGACACGTTGCTTGCATTGCTTTCTTCTCAGAGTCACTTGCATCTCTATGTAATCTGAATTGCAACCCAATGGTCTGAAACTCCAACAAAAGCTTAATTCCCTGGAATGGAGGATCTGCAAATGCTGATAAAATCTTGACGGGGAATCTATCCTTTCTAAAAAGATAAACATAATTATATCAACTATCCAAGATGATAAACATAGTTATATTAACTATCCGGTTGGTCTCAGAGGGTGGCTTTATCAATTTACTTTTTTCTCTCTCTCAGAAATCATTTATGAAGATTTTTTTGGTTGGGGAGAGGTAATTCTATGGGGAATTCCCTTTGGAGAACTGCTCTACTCGTTGGAGGTTTTTGCCTGAAGTCTTTTGGGTGGTATAGAGTTGAATAATAGTAATTATTTATATCTGTTTATGGTTTGTGCTGACACAGACAATTACCTTCTCTAATGTATTTCTATTTTATTTTTATTAACGAAGATATGTGTTACTTAATTTCTGCATACTCATTTGGTATACATGGCAGTAAAAGAGTTGATCCAGAGACATCCAAGTACTTCTTGGAAATTTCTTCTCTCTTAGAAGGAAATGTGAATGACCTTGAGGAACGATCGGTATTATGTGGTAATGCCCTAGAGGAGACAAGGGGAAAAGAGTTGCAGATTGCTTCTGACAAGATACTTAGCCATGTATTGGAAATCCTACTTCAGAGCTGTAGTGTAGATCAGCTTTGCAGTTTTCTTCTAAGTTGTGCCAATGACTTTCCCTCTATTGCAATAGATCAGTCTGGGTCCCATGTTGCTGAAACAGCTTTTAAAGCTTTAGCTTTGTATATTCAGTATAACAATGCTGATTCTGCTATTGAACAAGTGTTACGTAAAATATGCCAGGTAAATATCTCTTTTTATCTGCTGCATCAAACAATTTTTTAATATTTCTTCATTTAGTTTTTGGTTCAGATCAGTGAATAAAAAATTGTTTCCAAGTTGGCAACACATGTTGTGCGAACTCGATTTGTCCAGTGGGCAAGTTGTATAAATGAAAAACTTGGGATTTACCTGAGTTTCTCCTTTCATATAAATATTTTGATGATTTGATGACAAATGGGCTCGTGGCGTTGCAGTGTGCTTGGTTGACGAGTTGGGTTTTGGATCCCCATAATTGATGCCTTTTCTGTTTTTAGATGTTCCGAAAAGCTCGATTATTCTTTCTGATATTACTGTTTGACTCAGCCAGTCTACTTGGATTTGGCAATGACCGAGATGGTGACCAAGTGTTAACACTGGGTCAGATTAATATTTGGGAACATGTGCTATAATGCAATGGATTATGCAAAATCATAGTCAATGGGTTCAGCACTATAAGCAATGGGTGATGATGGAGGGAGTGGCACCCACCAGATCAGGACATGATCGTAAACTTTTATATGGTCACCTGTCCGTCATCTTCCATAGTCCATTGGATTATATAATACAGTTCCCGAATGTTTTGCCATTGAAACTGAAATAGAATTGATGGCTTGTATATCGGTCATCAGAACCCCAATTTTGGCCAGATTCTGCTGAAGCTAACTTAGATTTAAAAATATAATTTAAGTTTTTTGAAAACTTATAGTTAAATTGATGCCTTATTTACGAAATCACGACACCTGAATTTACAGTTCGGTATAAGGACTGTTTTTTGTTCTGGAAAAAATTTACATGCTGATCTCGTTTCGTGTCTATGATAAGAAAACCCATTTCATAACTAAAATTTTGGATCTTGATCTGTAAAATGATATCTTACTTGGTACTGGCAGGTGGTTATGGGGAATACAGTGGATGTGATGTGCAGTAGCTATGGATCCCATGTCATGCGTAGCTTGCTTTGTCTTCTTAAGGGAGTACCCTTAGACTTTCTGGAGAACTTTCATGTTACAAAATCTGCCACTGTACTTGCAGAGCGTTTAAAGAGCAGTTCACGAAAATCAGATGGAGAACATCTAGCTCAAATGCAGCAGAGCTTTCCAGATTTACTTAAGTTTCTAGTGAGAGGGATGCTAAGCAATGCTAGTGAGCATATGGAAACCTTGCGAGTTCATAATTTTGGTACTCTTGTCCTCCAGGCACGTAATCATCTACTAATGCCTCCTAGATTGATATAGACTTTTATAACACAATGTGCCTGTGTGCCTTTTTTCATAACTATGTTGAATAAGAATTGGAGTTTGCAAAATAACACTTGGGGTTTGAGTCTATTTGGTTATGTGGGTTGCATAGAAAGATAGATTCTTGAATCAATCCATGAGAAAAATGGGACAGAAGGGGAAAAAGAAGAAGTAATGAGTTAAACCTTTCTTCAGAATCAGGAATCAGCGTTGCTACATTATATCTAGTTCATCTAATCATGTTATTAAAAATCATGTTATTAAAAAGGACTGGATGCTAAATTCGCTAGGGTCACTCTAAACTTTTGGCTTTGTATAAGAAGCCAAAAGAAAAAAAAAAACAAAAGAAGAAGAAGAAAAAAGGCACAAGTAACTTGATCATTTGGACATGCTGTTTCTCTTGCACAGTTTTCCTGCTTTTCAAGCATAAGAAGTGGAAAGAACACTGCGATTCTTTGTTTGTTTGTCTTCTTCAAAATATTTTAGACTAATTTTGCCTCTTACAACAAAATTACTCAATTGGGTATTAAAACAAAGTTAAATTTGATGATCTAATGGTGATGTGCCTATTGATCTCAATTGTATCACAGTGAATGTCAAAAAAATATGGGGATCCTAATTTGCAATGTTATTGGTTGGTGTCCTCAAAAAGTGTCTTGTTTTCTGACAGACCGTTTTGAAGCTATTGGAGGGAGATGACGAGGAATTACTGCATATAATACCCATACTTTTAGGCTGCAATGCCAGAGATGTTACTTGGGAAGGGGAGATATTGAGCATTGTGTCATCGCAAACTGTATTGGGCTTGATAAAGGATCCAGCTTTCAGCCATTTGATGGAGGTGAGATGGTTTCTTATATAGTGTGTGCGCGTGTGTGTGTATGTGTGTCTTGTGTGCGTGCACACATGTATTATTGAGCGAACCACTCTCAAATGAGTGATTGGCAACAACCGAAAGCCCTCTCAAAGAAGTGCTCCACTATAGCGGAAAGTCCTCTTCAGCTACAACTTAGCATGTTTAGTGAAGCAAAGCATCTGAAAACGGGTGCATAGCAACATGAAGCTGTCTAAGTGTTTGGGGTTTTATGTGTATAATTTTTTTGGTGGTTTTCTTTATTTTATGGGGTGGGGGGTGGAGGGGGTGCGAGTGTGTTGGGGTTATCAAAAAACATTGGAAGTGGCATGCTAGGAGGGTAGTGTATCTTGAGCAACCCTTTTTCAATGCATTTATCTCATCCATAGCATCTGTCATCTGTGAGTTCCTGAATGTCCCCAAACTCAAGCTTTTCTACTAGATTCCACTTTCGAGGACTTAACTTTTAAATTTTTATAAGTAACAATGTATCAATACAATACAGAGTACATATCAAGTTATATTCCTAAGAGTACAAACAAACTGCAATGATTTGATCTTGGGTTTACTTATTATTGATGTGGTTGGGACTATCTCTCAGATGCCATCTTGACATTTTTTTTTTTTTTTAGGGTAATTGCCATCTCGACATGTCCATGACCAAAACTCCTTTGTTATGCTTGTTTCCAATTTTTAAATAAAACCGTTTTTTACAAAAAGCACTTGATCTAGGATGTCGATGTCGATGCCAATTGCTATTATTGTGATATTTTATTTAAAAAATATCAGGATTGATCTTGGAACGCATGCTATGCATGTAGGTGGTCTAGAAACAAAGTATGAGGACAGCACATGGAGCTTTATTTCTTTTAAATGGCTATTTTACCATTGGGCATGTGCTAAAATATTTGACAATCATGTTTTAAGCCATGGTAGAAATTGTGAATTTTTAAAAAATTGGCAGCTCTGGGTGCTGACATTATTGTAAGTTTCTGGATATGCATGACCTTGGCAGGTGTTCCAGGTGCTGACCTGTTGTTTTAGCTATTTTTCATACATTTATGTGTCTTGCTGTAACTATAGGTTTGATTTTGCAAAATTTACAGGTTATTTTGGAAGTGGCACCTGACAGTCTCTACAGTGAGATTTTTACAAAGGTATTTCGGGGATCCTTATTTGACTTGTCATGCCATCAGTGCAGTAATTTTGTCGTCCAAGCATTGGCTTCTTCTACAAGACACCAAGGTCAAGTATGTGCTCCTTCTAGGATATTCAATATTATTATAAGTTCCGGTTTGTGATGTTTGTCTTCATACCCTTTGCATTACGATACTCCATTCTTATAATGTAAAATGGTAAAGCATAATATAATCCACTAGACTATGGAGAATCAGTGTCCAATAAAATGACGGTCGGTAATATAGAGTGTCCAATAAAATGGTATTCCGTGCTTTTCACTTGTAAAATCTAGTAGTCTTCCAATTTATATTGAATTAATAGAAAACATTGTTAAACATAGGTAACATCTCTTTATTGCTCTTGGAATACCATGCAGCTTACATTTATTTCACGTTTTTCTTTAGGCTATTCATCTCTGCTTGATTTTGATCTCGGTGGTATATTATTCTATTGTCCCTTTAAACGTTATACGTAAATAGTGAATAAACCCTTGTTTTAGAGTAGGAAAATCTTTCCAGACCTGACTTGTGTTTTGAGCTGTTTTTATAATTGTAAAAACATGGGACATAACTGAGATTTTGATTATTTCTAATTTGTGTTTTTTCAATATATATACATTTCTTTATTAATTTGGCCAATACATGGTCTCTTCCAATGCGGTAGCATTGCAGTATGACCTAGGTGACAATTTGTTATCAATTCCCATCACTTCCACCTTTTTCCCCCCCTCACGAAATTTCGAAAGTTCTCCAAGTGTTTGCATGACTGTTCAACTTGAGGAGTTGACTCAGTTTTGGCTTTGACTGAGTGTGGCCACCAAAAAAATAAATGCTTGACTATAAACTCCTTACATTGGTGGAATCTTGAAGCTACATAGTAACCTGGAATTTTCCTGTGCCATTATATCAAAATGTCACCAGTGATTCTGCTGTTATCCGAAACTTTTCCCAATTAATACTTTCTCCAAAAAAAAAAAAAAAAGAAGCTTTTCCCAAGTAATCTTAATTTTGGATATGTCATTAATGAAAGAATTTCTGTTATTATTTGTGAACTTTTCTATGATTCAAAAACTGTTTATAAACTTGAACAAAACTCGTGCCTCATACCTTCTTTGTGCATCTTGGTTATTATTGTCATTACAAAATGTTACTTTATATTGCCTCACTTTTCACAACCTTTGTTTGCAACCCACTTGGAGGGCTCATAAATATGGTTTTTATTATCTTTAAACTTAGAAAACAATTTCCTTCTTTCATTTTATATGCAAGTATGTGTTGTTAAAGGTATTTTCGGTATGGAATGTGTGAGCAGTAAATATTACTTAATTCCTTATAAGAGCAGTTTTTTCAAACTTGAACTCAATGGCTAACTTGGGTGCTGCCAAAATCGAGTTGACTCGCCAAGCTGAACAGTGAACTTGGAAAAAATCGAGCAAGTTTTTTGTATTTTGTAAAACTCTATGAAAAAACAAGTTGTCTGGGGGGTGGTTTTTGAAGCTGGCTTGTCAGCAAAGAAAATCTGCAAATCTTACCACTATGCTAAATGCTATTCATTGCATAAAATAGCACAAATAATATCTATGTTGAAAACATTCCATAAATTTGTTTTTTCTGTTTGTGAAACAAGGTAGGTAGGCAAGTCGAACTGACTCGGATAGTTTTTCTGAGTTGAAATTAAATTTTTAATCACTGTTTTAAAATATTGGCCTTTAAAAGTTGAACTGAAAATTTATATTTCTGCTGCACAATCAATGTTCAAGAAGGCGGATGTGGCACCCAAACACCTGGGCGGCTTGCATGTTGGGGAGGGGGGAGGGGGGAGGGGGGGGAGGGCGGGGGTGGGGGGTTGCGCAGATACTTGTGGATTGTTGGACCCCCTCCATGTTATTGTGTATAGAATTCCATTTTTTTGTTTGATATATAATATTATATATATTTTTTGTATATAATGTATTGTTCAGAAGTGAGAACTACAGATCAAACATAACTATACACGACTTTAAACTGTAAATAAAATAGTTAAAACTTTAAAAGTAACATTAAAAGATAAAAGCAACTTGAGATGACCATCAAATCTTGCAAGTCACAACATATTTCTCATAAAAAAAAAGTTCCCTCTGACCCTCAAAGGTCATAAACTACACAAAGTAGTCTTCTTCACCCTACAAATATGATGAGCTCAAATATGAGGTTGAGTTTCTTCATCATTAGAAACATGAGGTCGACATCCAAGGCCAGCATCAAGTGCACTTGACTCAAATGATGATGCCAAGCCATTATCATCAGAGTCATCCTCCTCCTCCATATAGAAACCTTCTTCTCTTGTCTCCTCTGAGTCTCCATCCTCCTTCTCTAATACCGTCCTCCTCCTCTTCCTCCACACCTTCTCCTTTTCCTTCCCCTTCCCCATTCCTTTCTGTTTGCCACTTCCTTCCCTTACTTTGAATTTGGGATCTAGTAGTTCTCATGGGGCTCAGTGCCATACCAGGCACCTCTTGCACTTGGGTCCATATCAAGCTCTCTCCCCCGAATACAAGCTCATCCCGAGCATCCTTGAGGCCTCGACCAACCATTCGCTTGTTGGATCTAAATCTTTTATAGGTATGGGGCTTCAATTTGAAACCGCTTTAGATGACAATCCTTCAGCTTCTGATTATTTTGAACGAAAACAAGGTTGTGCAGTCTCTTCTTCTTGAGCCTTTTCTCTTCTTATATGTACTTGTTTCATAATACATCATTGCACTATTAGAATTCGTTACTTAGAAAAAATATTGAGGAAGTTGATTTCGTAACTTGATAGGAGATGAATGTAAATAGAAAATTACTATCTGGAATTTGCTGAAGTTGCACTTGTAGCCAGACGATGTACAAGACAAGTTCAAAATCCGCTGTGCCATCCTTTGCAAGTTGGGTGCAATTTGTCCATGGTTGGCCCACCAAGAAGCTATAATACATTTAAAAAATAAAAGTAAGTAGATTATATAGATATTAGTAAATTTAGAATTTAGAAAATTGGAGTCAGGTTAAACAATGAACTGTGGAGTAAGAATTTAAGAATTTAAATGATTAAATACATCTTCAACTTATATGGATATATTTTTGTCTTTTGCTTCATTGTGATGTTTGTCCCACGTGTCCCCATAGAGTAATGATGCAAGTCAAGTTCCCTACACACGTATTAGAAATTTGAGTCGTGGTGGAACCTCACATTACACTTGTTAATTGCTACCTTGAAACAACCCTTTCTCTCTATCTCATGAATAGAATATAAATAAGCAGGCTTGAGAAAATACCCTGCTAGGTGTAGGGGCCTCTCCAACTGCATATCCCACTTGTCATCTATAATTTTCAAAATTAGGCCATTTTTGCTTTCACCTTGCTTCAAGTTCAGCTTGATTTCTTCTCTTGCAACCTCCATTGCTTTGTGAATACTCCTCATTGCCTGTTCCTTTTTACTATCTAGTATCCTCAAGGCGAAGCCCTTTTACAAGAGGCTAAAAAATATGGAGGCAAAACTGAACCCCACTTCAAACTTAGGTGTCAAAACAATGTCATAGGCCTTTTTTCTTTTTGCCTCCTTAGACCACTTGCCTCCTTAAACATTGTTTTTGCCTCCTTAAACATTGTTTGAATTTTGTTTTCTTGCTTATTCAAATTATCCAAAAACAAGAATGAAGTGGCAAACCTAGTGAGTCTCGGCTTCACCAAGTCAGATCCATCTGTAAACTTCCGCATCATGGCTAAAACATTTGTGTCTCTAACTAAAAACTGTTACAGCTTTAGCTTTTTCTAATATTCAAATAGTGCTTTTTTTTGGCAATTTTCTTGAGCATCAAATCGATACAATGAGACGCGCAAGGTGTCCAGAAATGTGCGGCCTCGACCTCTCCAACAATCTACCAGCTGCCATATGGACCTTAGCCATATCTGTGACAATGTGCACAACATATGCCTCCCCCACCTCCTCAATGCACTGATCTACCATACCAAATATGAAAGCCGCATCATGAATCTTATCAGATGTGTCAATGGACCTCAAAAAAATGGTTCCCATGGGATTAACTAGTAAATGCACAACACTCCCCTTAACCTCCTATCGGTTCAAGTATTTGTCAAAACAATCATCCCACATTGCCCCAAGCATCCTTGTGGGTCTTCAGCTAGTCATTTGTTAGATTTGCGTCTTTCTTCAACAATGGCCCCTTGAGCTCATAAGGTATAAGGGCCCTATATCCTAGGCCAACTACCTCCCTGCCTCCAACATAACTCGGAAACTCTTCAAGCTGGCAATATTAAATGGTAGACCTGCTTGAAAGTACCATCGAGCCACAAACTGATTAACTCTTACTTTATCCTACTTCTTCAGATGACTCTCTAGACTCGAACCACCACCTCAGGATCGGGAGGGGGGAAGAATGTATCAATAGGCCCCCTTCTTCGAGGTTTCTTATGCCCAATGGTACTTAGTTTATATATAAAGGCATCTCCCTCTTCATCATCATCATCTTCTTCCATTCCATAGATATTTACAGACCCTTATGTCTTCATATTATTCCCTGTCTGTTCTTTCCTCTTTTGGACCCCTTCATGTAAAAGATCCAACATCTCTTTCCTAACCTCTTCAGGGACTTCAGTACATGGCGCTATGTCCCTTCTCTTGCTGGCCAAATGCTTCTTCAATCGATTAATGCTATCATTATACTCTTTTTTGCAAAATTTGCAAGCTACCCTATTCTTCTCATTAGGGTTGGGACAATGTCCATATTTCCAACTCAGATCAGCTTGTTTACTTGAACTCGAGGAAGATATTTTCACCTACCCTTACCTATCAAGTATCAACTTATCACCTAATCCTGAAAATTACACGAAATCAACAAAAGCAAGATTAATTTATGATTATGTAGTCTAAATATTTGAAATTACAAATTGATCATCCAAAGAATATTAAAAAATGATCAGCCAAAAAATTACAAATAGGCAATGAAGTAGAAAGAATTAATACATTGACCCTTCAATATCTTGAGTTCTTAACAATCTAAGGAAGAAGTAAAGCTAGCATGATCAAGGCAAAAAAAATCTAGGAAAACCTACGCATAAAAATTGCAATGATTTAAAGCATAAAATTGAAAAAACAAATTACTCATGAAAGTATTTAATAAGAAATTATTTAACTAACTCATGAAAAAAAATTATGGCAATAAAAGTTTTGGATCATACAAGTAAACTCATGCAAAAAAAAAAAATTCATTTAGTTTTGGCGCAATGGACTTCCAAAACTAAAAAATAAATTGGGAGAGTAATCCAAATAGTTGATAACATATCGAATACATATCATAAAATATCAAAAAGAAAAACAAAAAATAAAGAAGAACATCATGATACATTTTACAAAAAAAAAAAACATAACCTTAATTAAAAATATTGAAATATGACAACCTTCTCGCTATGGAATCGATATTGGCCCAAATTGAAAAGTTTTGGTTCCCAAATTTCCTCTTTTACAACCACTATAAGACTAAAAGAGATTTGGGATGAATGTCCTTCGATTTTGTGAGGATTCGATGACCTTGACAAAAATTTTGAGCTCTTGACAAATTCAAATGTCGTTTTTTAGAGGGTTTTTCTCTTTCCAAACCTCACTACAAAGGTTTTGGGGGGCAAGAATGCTCCCCCCCCCCGGCGGTCAAGCCCTTTTTAGCGGGGAAATGACGAAAAAACCCATTGGCCAAAGGGCATTTTGATGTGGTGCCTAGGCGTCTGCCTTTCAAGCTGCCTAGGCAGGCACCTTGGGCGCCTAGGCGGGCGTCTTAGTACACCTGCCGAGGACCTGTGGCCTAGGCCATGCTTAGGCGGTATGAGAAAAAGGCTGCCTAGGTGGCCCAACGGCCGAATTGTTTTACATTGAGCATGATAAATTCGTCGAAGTTTTTGTCCTATCAAATTAATCAATGTGGAGAGCTCTAGTAAAATTCACATTTCTTGAATTCATGATCATGGCCATCAAATGGTGCCTGGAAATGTGATTTTCATCTTCTCAAATATTTTTATGTTAAAATCTTCTTTGTACATTATTATATTTGAATTATGTTTTTCTGCAGTTGTGGAATTTTTTTTTTTGAACGTTAATTGGTAGTAGTGGGTTTGGAAATATTGAATCCATTAGTAGTTTTCAAAAGGTGTTAGCATTGGTAGGATTGGAAATCAAGACCGGTAGCTGAGTTACAGGTGGTGTAGAATGAGTCAGCTGGGGACAGATCAAATATGTTACTTAGAAAATTATCAATGTAATAGTTATTTGGCTTTTTAGGGTTATCTTAGAAGCTTGTTTGAGCTGATGATGATGATGATGAAGGCAATGGAAAGCCTTTTCTCCAAAAATAGTATTTGACATAACCACATGCAAAACCCTGGCAACAAGAAGAATATTAAGCATAAGCACATGTAAAATTCTGGTGACAAATGACAAAGGATAACTACATGCCAAAAATGAAATGGAGGCTGTGCATGTGTGGTTCTGTGTATTTGTTTATTTTGAAAAATCATATGAATAGGGCACCATAGATAGTTGCATGAGATTCCTCTGCATTATTTGTTGGAAACTAGATGAATATTTGATCTGTTCTGTCCGAACTATTTTGGGTCCCCTCTAAAAATGAGAAATAGAAAACGAAAGAAATGCGATATTTTTATATTTTTGATAATAACATGAGCTTGCTGACCATTCTATTTTTTTACTCTATTTCTTGTATTTCTAGCTTCATGCAATTTGTGATCAATTATTGAATGCCTTGTTATACATAGATGAGTTTACTGTGGGAGGAACTTGGGCCGAAGTTCAAGGAGCTTCTTAAACTGAGGAAGTCAGGAGTAGTTGCTTGTCTTCTGGCTGGATGCCTACGCCTTAATACACTTGAAAAAGAGGTATTTTTTCCCTGTAGATTTTGCTCCTTGGCACATACCTGCCCTTTCCTGTTCATACTTCTGTGATCATTTTGCATATGAAGATATTTGGAATTTAGACTTTTATAGAGAGGTGGTCCAGCTTTTAACATGTAAAAATGGAAAATTCACTCCTATGCGTGCTAATATGTCACAAGCAATGTTTTGAGGTTTTAGTGTCTTTCATCTCTCATATCCCTCTTGGGGATTATTGGTGTTAGAGCCAATACCATTTATGAGGAACGCAAATTTGTTTCAATCTCTAGTTTCTCGTCGCGACGATGTGTGGCTGGCATGCTGTAGATGATACACCGACTTCCTTGGGGCAGTGTGCGTTGATGACAATCTTTTCAAAATTATGGTCCTTTGGTGGTAATTGAAGAAACAGTCCAAAATAAATCAGGGCAAAGAATATCTACAATCCAAAAGCGTGTTAAAGTCCTTTCTCCATAAGCAATAGTTAATACAAAAATAGAGGAAGGAGTCTTAGGGATTCCTTATGAAAATAGAGGAAGGAGTCCTTCCTCATGAACAGTCCTCCATTGCTATGCTCAACCCCTAAAAGCTGATGCAGTTTTGGGACGAGGTAATGATGCTCATTCACATAGGAAAGCTTGATGTATAGCAACTTCCTTAGTGATGCTGGAAAAATTGAGAAAACAGTAAAATCAGCGAGAAACAAACCAAACACAAGCACAATTTGAAGAAACCTAGGGTTTCTTCTCCACACCCAAGCTAGGGCTGCAAAAGCTTGAGTTTTTCTTTTTTCTTAACTATGGAAAATCACGTGACTGCCTTCTCCTTGGCCCCCACTGACCTCTTTATAATGTTATTTAATGTTTTAAGTACAAAAAACGTCCAAGCAAATAATTCACTGATCCATAGATCGCAACTTAAATTTAAAATTTGTAATGATAGTTTTTACCCTTGTGAACAATACACATGAACAGTACTTGTGAGTAGTACTCATGAAATAAAAAATATAAAAACCCTAGAATCCTTAGAAAAAGGAACCTAGAAATAAACCCTAAAACTAAAACTATACTAAACATCTTTTGAAATTGAATAAAAATTAGAAAAAATATGAGTAATTTTGCCCTCCATCATTGTCTCCTGGTTGGAGAAGACTTATCTTCGAGTTTTGAAGTGTGCTAAGATGAATTCAACATCAAAACTAGCTTGTTCAACTTTCTTTTTCTTTGTGGGCTCAAATATTATTCGTGGTAAAAAGAATTCCTCAAGAAACGGATCTTGATATGTCTATTGAGGAATCAATTCAAATTTATCAAACACATCTATCCTTAAACTCCCATTGAAAATCGTGTAGGAAACTTTAAGCCCATTTTTCTTGTCTTTTGATGCTCGATATCCATTTCATTACTTTATGAAATTAGGGCCACAATTTACCTTTTATGTGTTGACGATGTTTCATCTATGCTACTCTGATTCCAATGTCCTAAATAAACTTCTTGACTGCTCTACCTCTTCGATATTAATGAGATATTCAAAGGCCATGATTTGGATCAGTCTTCCTGCTGCCTTCTCTCCATATTCTTCATGCTCTTCCGAAGTTAAAATGCCGATATCACTGTCAGAGTCGCGTTAAAATGCAGATATCACTATAGTGATAAGGGGGCTCTCTCCATGCATATTTACATGTATCTCTCAGTATGGGGTTGCTTCCCGAAATGCGACTATCATATGTGCATGCCATGCAAAAGTTATGTTGACGATTTGACCCTCACTCTCATTGGCCCACCTCCACACATAGGAGAACACAATTGTCCTGACCTACAAACAAGTCCCTAGGCATCCCTCCGACTTCAACAAGGGATAGCTTACAATAAACCCCCAACAATAGTGCCCTCATCCATGGGTAAGGGTTTTGGACTTGACTTGGGCCATAAACTGCCCAACCCTAGGTCAAGTCAACGCATACGCTCCCACTGAAGTGCATAATCCACTATAAATAATTTCATTTGCATGCTCTCTAGGCCTTTAAAGGCCACAAACCCCAACAGTGACACCACCGTAGTCGGTGACAATATAAAATACTTTGTTACTGAAAATTACAAGTAACAATCATAGTTGTTGGGGTTGAGAGCGAGGGGATCGTAAAAAACTAGAAGACCGTACAAAGCTGTTTTAGGCATCGCGATCCACAAATGTTAGGGTTCTTGATCCCAACCTTTTGGAGATTGCAATATTAACTTTTGGGGATATCCATCGTAACATTGTGGGGATCTTGCTCCTAAGCTTAAAGAGTATTTATAGTCAAGGACTATTTAAACTCTTTAAAGTCGGGACTTTTTTGTTTATAGTCAGCAAGGAATGTGACTATAGTGAAAGTATAGGTGCATTGCTGTCTGGCTATAGATAAATAAATTCATTAGTTTGGTTGTTATCTTGGCCTTAGAGGTGGAGATCGAGATCCCTAATTGTGGGGTTCGATATCCCAAAATTTTATATTTGAGACCCATAACGATAATTTCCTAGAGCTCCGGAGCGGGATTGCCACAGAGGTTGGGAGATCCTAGCTACTATGGTTATAATACAAGTTCCAAGTTTCAATAATTACATCATGAAGGGAAGATGAAAGTCATCTCTTCATTGGCCTCTATACCTGGGCGACAAGCATTTTAGCAGGGTGACCATACCAGTCAAGCATTTGATAACTCGTGGCAGTGGATAATTTTTCAGACTGTCAACTGTGGCTGCAACTCTACCTGCTCCAGCTGAGTTTCAGGTAGAACTAAAATAGCATTGGACTTACTCTAAAATATTTGACACGAGGATCCAAGCTTTAGAAGCTTAGCGAGCGAGGCATTATCTGCAGACCCCTACATTGGAGATTCGAGTGGGCTCTTAGAGAGTTGGAAGGAGAGCTCTTAGACAAGAATTGAGCAGGATTAGTTTGCACTAGTCTTGGGGCAATTCCAATGGCGTGTTAAAATGCACACTTAACACATTTTGGACATAACACTTGTATCACTCTCACTCATTCTTGATAGCACTTGTATGAGTGGGATTTAATAGTCGTCTTTTTGGTATCCGTGTGCTGATCATCCAGCATGTGAGTTGCTTCATTGTTTGATGCGTAGCCTGATTTCTTCCAATAAAAAGGAAAAAGGAAAAAAAAAGTAAAAGGGCAATGTTATTACACACAGGATTGGTCATCTTACCTGTGGAGGCACTGGTCTGTCTGGTCAAAATTTATTGGTTAGTCATAAAAAATAAATGAAAAACTTAAGAACTTGTAAAAATCTAGTAAGCACAGTTCGAACTGACCAGTTCAACCGGTCCTACCACAACCGGTCCAACCACTTGAACTAGTGGTCAACTAGTGGTTCAGACCACTTTCTTGCTTGTTCAGACCAGGTTTGATTAGTTTTCCTGGTTCAGTGATCAAACCTAACTTAGTCCAAGTCCAGTTTGTTGTCCAACTGGTCAACCATCTAATCCGGTCTTAATAGCATTGATCACAATTTGGTCAATCATCTTATTGGTCACCTAAATCATTAAGCACAAAGCCAAGACCTTATCCCAAAGTTTTTTTTTGGTAGTTCAGTGGCGATTGGATCCCCTACCCATGGTGGGAATGGAGCTCAAGCTGTCATGTTGTACCAATCTACCACCTTGACCACCTAGCCTTGATCACTTATCTAGTTATTCCAAAGTTGAATGCTCTTAAAGTTGAATGCTCTTAACTGTTAGTTTTGCATTCCCTGCATGTTTAGTTTTTGATGAAGTATTCAATTACCCAAATGTGGAATACCATAGTCAATGAATTATGCCATCCAATGACGATAGGCAATTTGCAGAGAGTAAGGTGGTCTCATTCTTTACAGTCGATCATTTCAATGGATGGTGGGGGCGTGTATGTTTATTTCATATGCTAATATACTGACATTTCTCACCATGACGTTTGTTAAGTCTGTGCCGTAATTGCTTACCTATATTAAAAAAAAGGTTTTTATTGTAATTTGTCAGGGTTAACAATTCATCAACTAAAAATTGACATTTTGTGATTAACATGTGCTGCATTTAGGAAGGGCTATTTACTCAATAAAGATCTTAAGATTGTGTTGGTGGTCAGAGACCACCATCTGCTAGCTATTTTTACAATTGGGCGTATTCCCCAATACCTCTGCTCACCAGTGTTTTACACCAGAAAAGAAAAGACCTCTTGAGGTGTTTTTTCCCTATTGTGCCTTTTACAATGGATTGCTGCTTCAATTTTGTAAGAGGAACCATCAAACTGAATATATCTTTGGATTATGAAGAAACTCCAAAGCGGCCTCCATAGGAAATGTCTTTCTTATGAGTGTTATTGTTAAATTTATGATATTTTTTGTGGGATGTTACAATGACTTTCTAAGGATTGTACAGTCTAGGTCGATCAAGATCTTAGATCCTTCATGAAAATGATTTCTTTGATGTAGATTGTTTTGACTAGCTTATATTCTACTTTCATGCTGTTTAGAACCTTGAAGAGTTTCGAAGTAGATCTCATGACCAATCCATGTCTGACACCCAGGACCCTTTGATCTTTAGTTTAGACTGGACATCATGATCCATATCTAAGTTAATTTGCCAACTCTTGGCAGCAATGCCAATCATGTGGTTTAACATGAAATGCACCCACAGATTTTTGGCTCTCCCCATGGTTAATTTGAAGTTTGAAGCATGAAAGAAATTAAACATGAATACTCTTGTTGGCGTCTATTCCTGTAAATAAGTAGTCGCATCTGTTTAGATAATTGTTTGTGATTCCTTTTTGTGCAGTGTTGCCAGGCCCTTGCTAATGCTGTTTGTTTGGAGTCAGGATCTACCAGTTGCATTATTCCACGTATATTTTTTCTTGAGAATTACTTCTTTGAAGAAAAATCAAACTGGAATTGGCCATTGGGTGAAAGGTTATCGACTTTGGGTTGTTTGATGCTTCAAATCATTTTCCGACTTCCAAGAGTATGTTCAAAACCCTTACTTAGCAGGTCCCTTTATTTTGTGTTTAAATAATGACGGAAAATATACTCTAGTCAGTTGGACTATGGAAAGACCATATTCCATTGGGTTTTTATATTGGCTTATCACTGTCCAATGAACTGATGGATATTGATGATTTGAGAGTAGGACCCTTCTTTTCTTGAAGCTGTTAGGATCTACTCTCTCTCCATTGATGTCCAATTCAATGGATAGGGTAATGTCCAATTCAATGGACAGGGGTGACCCAATGCGATGTGGTTTCTCAATTGTTTATAGGTTATACTATATGTTTTCCCTGAAGTGGTCTCTGTTACTTTTGGCTATATGATCTGATTGAAGATGATCATTAGAAACCAGCTCGATTTAGCATTAGTCTTTTGCCATCTTGATTATAGTAAGATATTGTTACAAACTTTCTAGAAGTAGCTTTATGAATCTCAATCTTATTATAGAATCATGGTTAATGAAATCTTTTCTTGGCATCAGCCCAAATTTTCGGGATATGTTTTCATGATATGCACCGTTTCAAAAAGCGGACCGCCTAGCGCTTGGACGGCTGCCTAGGCGGATATCCCTGGGCGCCCGCCTGAAGCCTAGGTGGCCGCCCAGGGCCTGCGCCCCACCCAGGGGCAGAAATGCGGCTTCTTGAGGGTATTTTTGGGTCTTTTTTTAATACTAAATGGGCAAAATTGTGGGTTTTAGGTTCATTTGAAACCTAAAACCCATTAGAGGCTATTTTAGAGATAGAAAGCCCAAAAACAATTATTTTTCTTCTGGGCCGCCCAGGTTCTGGGCGTCCGCTTGGGCGCCCGCCTAGGTGTTGGGCGGCCTGGACCCCCCGGACCGCCTAGGTGCCGCCTAGCGCTTTTTGAAACACTGATGATATGTATTTTTGTCTTATAATAATGTTATCTTTAGTGATGGTGCTATAATATGTGGTGACAAGTGCTTGGAACATGAAATCAAATTTCAAGTATTCTCTTGACCAATAGAAGGTGGCTGAGATTTCTGAGGGACAAAACATCTAGTGTACTTGAGGTCTATTCAGCTTCTAGAAGTTGAGTCATTGAAGTTTTCTTGGGGAATGCCAAATGCGACATGTTGTGGATATGATGAACTCCACACTCCTTAGAAATAAGGAATTCCTATAGTATCCAAATTGACTCATTTGAACACATTTCTTCTTAGATCAATCTGGATGCATGGCAATTGGTATGTTGCTCATTTAAATGCACCTACCATGTGCTTTTCTACTGGTTGTTTCTTTCAAAATAATGTCTGTACAGGTTGTTTCTTTTAGAATATTATTTATACTTGGGTAGGGGCCTGTCATCCCCATTGATTTACCCAGATTTTTTTTTTTTTTTGTTTGTACTTGTTCTCTTCTATCTTCTTTTGTCTTCTTGTCCTCCTCAAGCAGGATCTCCTTGCATAGATTACATGTTTGTTTTCCTTTCTTTCTTTTTTTCCTGTCTTGAGATAAAATATTTAGTGGAATTTTAATGGGATCTTGGGCACGTCTTGTTTTTGTGGTTCATGCAGCACTGTTTTATGCTATAGTCTAATGCACTGTGGAATACCAAAGTCCACTGGGATCATCCCTGTCCAATGAGGCAGTAATGGGGTGATAGTGAAACAGACCCACCAAAACTGTTCATGATGCCAATTGCTATGGTTGGTGCCACAGTGCCACTCCCTCCCCGTTAATGTCCATTTCATTGGATAGTGATAGCCCAAAAACCTGTGGTTTTTCATTGTCCATTGGTTTGTATTAAAGTTCCGTATATTTGTTCTTCTTACTTTGTGGAGATCATTTACTTAAGCACGGGTCTTATTGTCTAACATTTTAGAGGATCTGCCATTCTCAAGGATGTTGCTAAGGTCTGTTTGTTGTGCAGGAGCATACACAGCAATATACCTCAAGCCTTACATCAATGGAATCCATCCATGTCCTTGAAACAGCAAAAGATGCTGGAGGAAGTCGGGTTATTGAGGCCTTTCTTTCTTCAGACGCTTCTGTGAAGCAAAAACAAAAAATAGTTTCTAAGTAAGTTCAAGCGATACATTTTGGTCTTTTCTTTTATTATTTATTATTTATTATTTATTTTTTGTTTTTTATTTTTTTACTGGATTGCATCATGTGCTCGTAGTAATTTCCGAAAAGCCCCAAATTTGAGATTGATATATTTTAAGCTTTTCTGAAAATTGTCTTTTGCAAAAATTGAATTCGCCTAATTAGTCTGACTTATCAGATTGATTGCTCCAAATACTTGATTTTGTTTGTAAATTAGCCTGTGGATCTTTTAGAGAGTTGAATGATGTTCATCCGTGACCAAATCTTAACTGATTTGGATAAAAAATGTGGGAGAAATCGAAGCATTGGCGGACTGGGGTACTGTCTAATAAGCAACAACTGTGAATTTTTGTGCCAAATCTCGCAAATTCTAGGATTCGATCCAACCAATTAGTATGGGGAACATGTAGGGTAGGGTGTTGAATCATGTTCACTAGAACCAAATTTCAATGGATTGGATCAAAATATAGGGAGAAATCGAAGCATTGGCGGATTGGTGCAGGTTTTAACAATAAAACTTCATTTCTTTTCTAAAAAACAGAGAATTTGTGGCTCCCAATATCTCAAATTCTAGGCTTTGATCCAACCAATTAGTATGGGATCTTATAGAGGGTTGAATCATGATCACGTCAACTAGAACCACATTTCAATGAATCAATAGAAATAGAAATATTGGCAAATTGAAGTAGGGTTAACAAAAGAACTGCATGTCCCCTTGAAACTGAGAATTTCAAGTCAAATGTTTCAGTTTGTAAGTGTTGATTCAACAAATTAGTATGTGGATCTTGTAGAGGGTTGAATCACATTCCACTAGAACCAAATTAGAACAAATTTGAAAAAGGAAGTACTGTACAGATTCCCATGTACCTGAGTAGTTACATGGGTACTTACTCAGGTACATGGGTAGTTGCCTCGCCTACTAACAGAAGCCGAGTGCACACTGTTTAGAATAATGAAGTTGGACCCATGGTGGTTATTTAGTTTTTGTTTTTCTAATTGACTCCATGATCTCTTTCATTGAGATGTATGAGACTGAGGCAACTACATGTTTCTAGAAGATTCTTACTACATGTTTCTAGAAGATTCTTACATTATTTAGGAGCAAATTACGTAGTATTGTCTAATTTTCTCATTATATTTTCTCTTTTTTTTTTTAATCAGTAATGTTTTTTATCAATATTGTGAAGAGTCCAATTAGGTGCAATGTTTATAACATGATGGTGATGGTGATGGTGATGCTGAGGCAGCAGCTCAGAGGCATACAGAATTCTTTGTGAACAAAGAGGTTATCATGTAAAACACTTTCAATTGCCAAATGTATATCTTTTTTTCTACTATGCCATTAGCCAAGATGTCGGTGTACATTACAAAAGGATATAGATTGCAATGTTGTCATCTCTGCATTTCTGTACGTGTCAACCCCAAACCCATGGTGGTGGGTGTATTTTAGGTTTCCATCTTATAATATTATGGCTCTCTATTTTGCTGTTACGGAGCTTCAAGGCTACTAGGAGGCCCTTTGTCTCTGCAAAGGATGGGTTACAATAGGCTTAGAGTTACAATAGTCAAGGTGCTACTTTCGTCATTTTTTGGTATATTATCTCCCACCGCTCCCCCTGCCCAAGTTGCCTTTTAGATCTTCCATCGAAATTACATTTTAGCCATCCCGTAAGGGTAGAGGATCATGATGGGCTCTAGTTCAAGGAAGCTGTTATTGAGAAGACCACATACCTCCAATTAAGAAAACAATGATATCCCCGAAATTCCACTCTACTAAGGGCCCAAGCAATCACTTGATTACGAATCCATTCTCTTAGGATGATGCTTCCCAACGATTTATTGACATGGAAAGAGGGGGATAATGATAGGAAGTTAGGATATTTGTCAATTAGGTTTTAGAATTATTAGAAAATTATGAAAGGTGGGTTGGTCATGTGCAACACCTAATACAACATTGGTTAGGAGGGGCGATTTGGTTCCAGAAGCCTCTAAAAGGGCAAGGGAAAGGCCCAAAAGGACATGGATGGAAGTAGTATGAAGAGATATGGTGACTTATGGTCTTACTGAGGGTATGGTTCTTGATGGAGCATAATGGCGGATGATGATTCGTATAATTGACCCCAAATATTTGGGATAAGGTTCGGATGATGATGATGATGATGATGAGAAAATTATGAAAGGTGGTATGGTTAGCTTGTGGGATTGTAAGTAGCTATGCTTATCATTGGTGGGATTATGTGAGTTCCATTGGAGGATCTTAAAGAGAGCACAATATTTCAGTCTTTTTTGTTTTTATTTTTCTATTTGTTTGATATCTCTCTTTGCAATGTGACAAGTGGTATTAGAGCTTAAAAGATGCATCCATCACAAGCCCCCCCAAGCTTGCTCTTGCAATTGAGTATATCCAACCACAATCATAGAGGTTGTGAATCAACAAATTAAAGATAACATAAATCAAGCCATGGAGAGTTTGAGAGTAGACTTTTAAGTCCAGATTGGTGAACATCATGGAGAGATCGATGAAATAAATTAGTGGTTGCAAATTGCAATGATTAAAAAGTACTGGTTGCTGAGAAGAGTGTGCTTGCAATCCAATAGATGTGGCACCAAATCTCAATTTTGAAATCAATTGAGTTCTACAAGTGCCTCCTACTGCTGATCCTATAATGAGCTTGTTTTGAGGTAAGAACCACAACCTATGGGGCATGTGCAAGATTTAGGTATCAATGTTGATCTCCCCAAGTTTCATGGTAAGCTCCACATCGAGGGTTTTGTTGATTGGTTGAGTTAGGTAGGAGTTTTTATGAATAGAGTGAATTATAGGAGAAGTGTAAAGTTAAACTTATTGCAGCCAAGCTTTGTGAGTATGTGGCTGGCTACCTTGTGTGAACATGTTAAACATTATCGACATTGCAATGGGCAGGCAAAAATCTCTCAATGGAATAGGATAAAAAGAATTTGAAAGAAAAATTTCTTGCAGTGGATCATGAGCAAGTTCTCTTACGTCCTCCAAGCTCAAGTGGGTTCTTTCTAGGTTACTTGATTTTCTTGTAATGAAATGCCACTGGTGCATATGAATTACTGAAGAAGAGTATGGCAGTTTACTTAGACTAAAGAAAGTGACAGAGTTGGTACAGAAGATGAGTCCCCAAAGCATAGATGCACTACATTAGAGACAATCATTGATTCAAAATTTGAAAGCTAGAAGCTCGAGGGCTAGATTCTTTCAAACCCTCGAGAATGATGCAGGAAAAAGCGGATAAAGATAGGGAATCAAGATATTTGTTGATTAGTTAGAAATGTTAAAAAATTTAGGAAAAGTAGGATACTTAGCTTGTTCCTGTTATATTAAAAAATTTAGGAAAAGGGGATAAAGATAGGGAATCAGGATATTTTTCCTTTACTAAACAGGGGCGCCAAACGAATCAAGACGTGCATTCTAAGCACTTTGAGAGAGTCTACGAAGCACCTGTATGTGTAGAAGCTGCATTGGTATGTTTAGAAGCTGCTCAAGCACTGAAGCGGGGGTATTTTGGAAAAATAAAAATCCGAGATAAAGGGACTTCGAACATAAAAAGTAAAAGTTTGGGATAATTTTTTTAGTTTGCAATGTATACATGATTTTTACATAAATTCTTCAAAAACAAACTTGTGCAATTTACGTGTGTTTGAACAGCAGGAGGTCCTAGGGTATGTGTCTGATTGTGTTACTAACAAAATTTTATATGCGTAGAGCGAAATTACTGTTACATTATTTTTGATGTATAATTGACCACCATGATTAATGGAAACCATATGACAAAATGAAAGGGAGAGCGTGTAAATTGAATTTCTTCGAGACAATGAAAGTTGGATACCTGATACTAACCTTAGCCTATCATGTTTTATTCCATGTTTGGAGTTTGCTTAAACTACCAAAAGGGAAAAAGCAATAAAAAAATAAAACAAAAAATAACCCTACAGTCTGATCTCTGACACATATCTGATATTATGTTGTCCTTGTGAAAAAGTGTACATCCAAAAAAAAAAATTCGAAGTCCCAATGAAGATCAAATTTAGGAGAAACTATAACTCCAATTGAGGATGAGACAAGGAATAGGAATTCCGCCATTGATATTAGAAGTGAGAATGCTGACATGAGTAACGAGAAATCCTATGAAAAACACGATCGCCTGCTAGTTCAAGGCTTTCTGCGTTCAGTCAATCTACGCAGAGTGAATCGGTCCCTAAGGAAGCCCCGAAAGGGCTGTCGTCCGATAGAAGAAGGAGCAAGTTCTTTCAAGCATTATAATTTATCAAATTCTCAAGCATCAACTCCTAATCTACCATTCAAAAGTATCAGAGTGTGTCAGTATATAATTTTACTAAGTTATTCAAGGTTTTAAAAAAATGACAATTATGATGATGCTAACAGCAAAAGGACCTCCACTTAAATATCTTATTAGTGATGCTTGAAAGTGAAAATAATGGCCATTATTTTAAAAATAATTTATGCCATCATCATCATCCGGGCCTTATCCGAACAACTTGGGCCTGGCTACACGAATTATGTTCTACCATTCTACTCTATAAAAGGCCATAACCTTAGTTAGACTATAAGTCACCATATCTCCTCACTACTTTTATCCATGAAACCAAGTTTTAAAAATCGGACTTGCCTGAGTCGACACGGGAATCGGTCACCCTGTGTCAATTTTTTTGTAAAATCGAGAATCGGCCGATCCTATAGGAGAATCGGCGATTTTGAACAGTGAATCGTTCATATGAAGTCATAAATCACGATTCCAAACGGCTTGTGACGTCACAAGGTCGGCGAGTCGCTAACTGAGGATATTTTGATAATTTTGTTTAAAAAGGTAGAACCGTAGGTGTACCCCTTCTCTCGATCCCGCTAACATTGATGCTATTGTACAAGTATTTATAATGCTTAAACTTTTTTTGACTCTTCGATGTGGGATTTGCATCGAGTGATATAATGTTGAAAAGTTATTCAATATAAACAATTATTGTAGAAAAGTGTTCAACGTGTGATGGGCTGCGGTGGTTATCAACTAGGTTTCTTCTTGGGACGTCCCAAGCTTGAATCCGAGCTTTGGGGATGCTATTGTGCAATTTTATTTTTGCCTCCAAAAAAAAAAGAAAAAAAGGAAATAATATCATAAAAAAAGGGCAAATAAAAAGAAGATAGGTTTTTGCTTTTGTCTTCAAAAAAATAAAAATAAAATAAAATATCATAAAAAAAAAGACAAATAAAAAGAAGATAGGTTTTTACTTTTGTCTTCAAAAAAATAAAAATAAAAAGAAGAAAATAATATCATAAAAAAAATAAAAAAATAATACAAAAACATTTCTTGCTAAAAAACAAAAAAGACAATACATCTTCTTTTTTTCTTGTCATAAAAAAAAGGTAATAAAACAAGTGTTTATTGTAAAAAAAAAACAAAACAAAAGGTATAGAAAATAAAAGGTACTCACAACATCATTTTCTTATTTTGTTGTAAAAAAATAAAAAGTAATACAAGAAGCAAAAAAAAGGTAATATAACATCTTTTGTTTTTGTCCAAAAAATAATAAAAGGTAATACAACAAGTATCATAGTTTATCGTAAAAAAAAAAGGTAATACAACAAGTATTTCTTGTCAATAAAAGGTATTTCTTAATACAACAAATTATTTTTAATACAAACTAGGAATAACTGATCTAATTATAATTTTTATTTTTATAATATGGCAATCGTTAACATAAATTGAGGAATATTAATTTTAAGGTAGGATTCATACAAGGTTGAAATATCTCTCCGTCTCTAACAATCTCTTTCACTAAATTTATTCTAGAAATCTACTAAATAATATTTTTGAAAAGTTGAAGTGTTATTTCGAAAATTGATGCGCATTCTAATAATTTCTATATTGATAACCAAATATTTTATTATTTATTTATTTATTTGCATTATAAATCTTGTAATGTACTATTTTTCTTACAGTTGTCAATAATACATTTTAAATTAAATGATATTATAAGATATTTTGAATTTGTTATTATTTATATAATACAATGTAAACCAACAATTTTCATTTCGATATATAATATTGTAGTTAGATAGGTTGTAATAATTTTTTATTATAGTTAGTTAGGTTGTAATAATTTGGTTTTTTTTTTTTAGCGGATTAGGGTTTTCCGCCAATTCGAGATTTTAGTAGCCATTTTTTCATCGATTTAATCCATTATTTATTGTAGTCTATGTATGATTATGTATTTTATCCATGATATGTTGTTTGTTTTATGTGATGCAAATTTAATGGTTAACATAAGTTCATACTGGGAAAGAACATCTCAATATTTGTAAATTGATAAAAAAAATGAAAGTTAATAATGTAATACCCGTATTTTTTATTGGATTCTTAAAAAACAACATTTGCAATGAATTTTAATAATTTTTTTGGATTTTTTTTAAGGCTTAATCGGATTGATTCAGCCGATTCCCTATTCGGATCGCCGATTCACCGATCCGGTTTGGGGTACCCGATTCGAGGCACTGATTCGTTTTTTAAACCATTGCACGAGACCTTTTGGGCCTTCCTCCGGCTCTTTTTGAGCCTTCCACTTGAATCTAATCGCCCCTCCTAACCCGTGTTAGGTCTACGCTGCACATGGCCAGCCATCTAAGTTTATTTTCCCTCATCTAAGACAATATTGCTTTTGCATGCGTGTATTCATTATGAATTCTATCCTTTCTTTTCTTGCGACTCATCCATCTCAACATTTGCATCTTAGCTACACTCATCCTATAGCTATATTGTTTCTTGACTGCCTAACATTTTGTCCCATAAAGCATGGCTGATCTTACAAACCATCCTATAAAACTTCTTCTTTAATTTCATTGGTATGCGACAATTACATAAAACTCCAGATGCACATCTCCACTTCGCCTACCCAGCTCTAATTCTAGGCGTTGCATTTTTCTCAAACTCCTTTTCTCTGGGATTAGCGATCCAAGATATAAAAAACAAATTTTTTTTAGGTATTTCATGGTCATCAATCTTAAGTTTTTAACTACTTCGTCATTTCTACCATTATTATTATTAAATTTGCATTCCATATATTTTTGTCTTAATCTGGCGAATTTTAAAACCTTTGGATTCCAGAGCATCCCTCGAAAGTTCTTTATGTTAACGTAGCTTCTAGTCTCATAAGTCAAAACTATGTCATCCGTGAACAACATGCATCATGGTACCTCATCATGTAGATGCTTAATTAACTCGTCTATAACCAAGCCAAAGAGATGGGTTCAACGGAACCCTGATATATGCCTATTGTTATTGAAAACTCACTTGTCCTTCCATTGATTATCCTCATACTATGTAGCACTCTCTCGTACATATCTCTCACCACATCAATATCCTCCAAAGACTCCTTTCTTTTCCAACACCTACCAAATTAACTCTCTAGGTACCCTAATCATATCACATCGTCATCATCATCAGATTTGGGGTCAGCTACATGAATCTTGTTCTTGCTATTGTGCTCTATCAAGGGCTATACTCTCAATAAGACCGTAAGTCCCCATATCTTTTCTCAGTACTTCCATCCATACCTTTTTGAGTCTTCGTCCTGCCCTCTTATATCTTTCCACTCGAACCAAGTTGCACCTCCTAACTGGTGTCGTATTAGGTTTCAAAATAATGCATGTAATGACAATTATTTGAAGAAAATGCATTGTTATCTTCGATAAAAAAAACTTCCTTCTTTAGAAAACAAAACAATATATTTTTAAATATTGTGATTTTCTCCATTTTTCTCTAATCTTCAGTTTTTCCTTTATCCTCATTTCTCATGTTTAAGAACTGAAAAGTTCCCTGCTGTCATACTTTTTAGAAATCATTTGCATATGGTGGTGATCCATGTTAAGTCGATGGGAAATTTTACCCTGGGGAGCCTGTTTATGGTATATGGTTTACAATCAGGGTGTCCACCATCCATTCTCAAACATGGACTGAGATTAACTGTATCTAGGTGGACGTCCTTGGTTGGGAACATGCTGTTAGTCTCTTCCTTCATTCTTAGAGTGGATTGCGGATGCCATGCCTGTGTACCATATACTTTACGAAGGCTGCATATTACTTTTCGTAATCTCACTTGGCCCTTTTCTTTTAGGTTGGGACACTTGATTCTACTTTAGTTTGATGACTTTATGTTCATGAAAGGCATTTTAGGCAACACACTTCTAAATGCTTATTTTTCTTGCATGTGTACTTTTCTGTGGCTCCAGGTTAAAGGGCCATTTTGGAGAGCTTGCCATGCATCAATCTGGTTGTTTCACAGTAGAGAAGTGCTTCAGTGCTGTTAACGTTCCTCTAAAAGAGGTTATATGTTCAGACTTGCTTTCTTTGCAAAATGAACTCTCCAAGACCAAGCATGGTCCTCATCTCTTGAGAAAATGTGATGTGGCCAGGTATGTCCATTCCTCGTGAAGGTGTCCTTTTTGTTTTTGTGTTTTACTTTTTCTAGGGAATGAATGCCATAATCCAGTATTGCATGATTAAGGTACTTCAAAGGGGTAGCCATCGTCTGTCCCATTGACAGACTGTGAAGCTTGTCCGTTCTTGGTGAATGTGCTGGTGGGTAACCATGATCGATGGCCACTGTCCATCATCAGGAATGGATGGTGCATGCGCCTTTGAAGTATTGTATATAATACACCATTGGATTATGACACTTTCTCTTCTGTTTATTGCCATGTTAACTTATCCCCTTTTTGGCTTCTATCATTTTCTATGGCCATCCGTCATTTTTACCATGCATTTGTGTAGAAAATTCTTGTACGATCATTTTCTTAAGAAAACAGTATGGTTCTCAATTTTTTATTGTTGGAATGTAATGGAATATGGTAATCAGTATTATTTTCTTAGTAGTATATTTTGTCTTGGTCTTATGAGTTTTGGTTAGGATGCCTTTATTTATGTGCTTTTGCTCTTATGCAATAGGTATTCCAATAAACCTGATCAATGGAGGTCTGCACAGGCATCAAAAGAAACCACTAAGAAAGAGTTTTTAGATTTATTCAGCTTCGAAACAAAGTCCAAAAATGTAAACTACAAGGCTGCAGCACCTTCTGGTGTGAAGTCGCCTCAAGGTCCCAAGAAGAAAAGAAAGGGAGATATCATGGATTCTCTAATTAAAGACGTTGAGAAGTCGATGGCTAAGGTGAGCGGCCTGGGACAGAAGCGCCACAGGAGTGAGGACAAAGACAATAAGGGAGCAAGTGATTCCCTCGAGTATTCATCAGATTCTACTAAAAAGAAGAGGAAAGAGAGAAACAATGATGGCCTGTCAAATAGTTGCAGGAAACGGAAAGTTGCATAAGAGAGAGTGTTGTAAATTGCTTCGATTTTGTTTTCTTTAAAATTTTGTAATATTTCCTGTTGATCCTGTACTTATTCGGAAAAAATTTTGGATTAATTTTGGATTATTATAGAAATTACTTCTAATGAATTAGTGGTTAGGGAACTTTTTGTTTATGTATATTTTTGAAAGGCTTCCTCAATTTGGCATATCTTTCAAATTTGGCCGTGGCAGCAATGAAATTCGAAAGTTTCAACCTTGATTGAAGTACTTACTACCTAGATTGTGCCTAATTGTTCCAAATCGACCCAGTATAGAATACACCGGCCTTCTTTATTACAGATGCTAGCAATAAGATGGTGCTTGTGCAGGCTTCTATTTGGTTCGCTTCTCTACTGTAATGTGCTTTTATGTCAAGGTTGAAGGGCACTTGTCTACAGCAATATAGGTTCTGTAGGGCTTGTGCTTCTTATGTAATGTGCTTCTTGCCGTTTTTGCAGATTGTGCCTAATTTTTAAAGAAGTGACGCAGTGTTCTAGAGTCCCTTTTCAAATCTGATTCATTTAATATTTTTAAGTAAAATAGGAGTTCAAATACCTTATAATTTGTTAATTTAAAGATTTTTATAGTATGAACGACAGTGATTTGGGATTGTAGATATGGACTGAGAATTGGCGGGTGCTGAATTGGTTATGGGAAGGTATTGCTACTGGCCCAATGGTCCTACTAAAAGCACCCCGCTTACAAGGAGGTTACAATTACTACTAGTCTACGAGCCATTAGGCATCAAATTGGATGTCTTGAGAGTCTCAAGTTGAGACCAGTGGGGAATACGGGTCTCTACTCGTTTTAGAAATAATTAGTAGTGGGAATGAAAACCTAGACCAATAGTTGAGGTTCATTGATGAAGTTTTACTTTGATGTTAGGGTATATCTTATAATAGGGTATTTTCTAATCCATGATCAGAGTTCATCCGCTGACCTCAGCCAGCTGAGCACCCAAGAAGCATTAGTAGACTGAAAGATTCACTCCCATCCAACTTCAGTCCTGTTAAAATCGCTTGGGTAATCATTGCTTATCTCGCCCATTGTCATATTTTTTGAAAGATTGCCCATGATTATATTTGCAGAAAGAAAACCCAGAGTAGGGAAATCTCAGTTTTCAGAAGATTGGTTGAGTGCGCTTCAATTGGATCCGGAGTCGCGGGATTTTCGCATTGTATTGGAAGAATTGAATGCCCTTGGCATAAATAGACAAACTATGTGATGCAATGATGTCTCATATGGTACCACCAGGTGAAGCACTTATTGAAGGTTTCTTTAGTATTGAGTTGCTTTTTGGCTGGAAATGATTAGGACTTAGTTGTAAATTACAAGGAAAAAAAATCTGGTAAAAGGTGTTGGAAATTGAAAGAGAAATCTTGGTCTTAAAATACATCTATTGTCAAAGTACATTCAGCTCTTTTTTATTAAAAAGAAACTAGATTAGAAGTCCATAAATTAGGGATTATGTAGGCATGAAACATTAATGTTCATATATTTTAGCTTCAACCGGATTGAGGAAGATGTCACACACAGAATTAGAGCTAGGTGGGCGAAATAGGTATGTCCAACCGGAATTTTATGTGATCTTCGCAAAACCAATGAAGATGATGGGGAAGTTCTATATGACAACTGTGAGACCAGCTTTGCTCCCTGGGATGAAATGTTGGGTGGTTAAAAAACAATATACTCATAGAATGAGTATAGTGGAGATGAGGATGTTGAGATGAATGAGAGGCCAACCAAGAATGGATATAATTTCAAATGAGTCCATTCGAAAAAATTTATGTATGGCACCAATAAACGATAAAATAAGATAGATTAGACGTAAGTGAGTTGGCCATGTATGATACAGACCCAACACAACACTTGTTAGGACGTGCGAGTTAGTTCAAGTGGAAGGCTAAAAAAAGGCAAGAGGTAGGCCTAAAAAGACATGGCTGGAATTAGTGAGAAGCGATACGGGGACTTACAGTCTGATTGAGGGTTTGACTTTAAATAGAGCAGAATGACGGTATAGAATTTGTGCAGTCGACCTCAATTAATTGAAAAAAAGTTACGATGATAATGATACTTTAGTTTCAATGACATAGCTTAGTACTTGGAAAGGATGATACCTATCAAAATTTGTTTGGATCAGTAGTGTTAAGTAATTCGATGTAGAGAACACAACCAACATGAAATTTGGAGTTTCTTTGACAAAACTGTAGTGTAAAATAACCAAGGAACTTTTTGTAAATTTGATTTTTTTCAGTGATTTTTGGTGGCAAATTTTGAATTTAAAAATAGAAAATAAGCTGACTGGCAAAAGGTCTGATTTGATAGAGTTTCTTTGTTGATTGGACATAAGAAATCCTCAGTACTACATGGTTCAAACTAAAACTCCCTAAACTCTGTTTAAGTTGGTCTGAAGCACCAATTATTTGCTTTTTAATCCAACAGTTGCGCATCTATTTCAAAAGTACTTAAAGGGGATTATGCATATCAAGAAAAAATGCTTCAGTGAAACGTCAAAGAGACTTGAATTTCCACCTACTTGAATTTCCACCTACTTTTATGCTATACACCATCTTGGGTAGTGAATAGTGAATGGACGAACCTTTTATAGATTAACCTTTAATATAAAATGCATTCTCTTTTTGGGTCCCAATACTGCCAAGTACCCACAAATTTGTAATAAGTATGCACAACATATCCTTGATTTCCTAAGTCTTCGAACGGAGGCACAATTTTTTTTTTTTTTTGAACGGTAACGTACGATTTATTATTAATTCATATGTAAAATATAAGATGTTCAAACAATAACACAATATTACAAAAAAGAACCAACAAGGAGGGAGTATGAACTCCTCCTTTAACAAGAACATCAGCATCTTCATTCGGCTCTCTATAACAATGTTGGATCGTTGCTATAGAGGATGACAAAATATCTCAAATTTGATGAAAAATAGTCTTTAATCTCCAAGAGATTTTGGCCTGTCTCTTACTCCAGGCAATGACATTTGCCGAGTCTCCTTCGATAATCTTGTCTTTTCCAAAGTGCATAGCAATTTCAGATCTTCTAATAAACTTCGTGTTTCTGTCTCATTTGCTGTTGTGATACCACAAAAACCCGAGTAAGAAAAAATAATGTGACCCAAATTATTTTTGATGAGTCCCCACCATAGCCGGCTGACCCTAGATTATCAAGTGAACTTCCATCAAAATTAAGTTTGAAGGATTCGAGTGGAGGCATATTCATGTTTAAACATTGTACTTCTCAACCAGCGGCCTCTAGAATGATCATATTTGATTCCACCATGGATCTAGGAATACAAGTTTGCCTTTTGGAGCCCCATGCTATGGAACCCTCACCAAAGTGAACGTCCATCAACAAGTAAAGTCAGATTCATCTAAATATGATATCTAGTTTCATTGTCGCACCTTCCTAGGGCAACAGGTTCACGATGGTAGTGTAAATCATAGTCTATGGTACCTCCAAGATATCGAACCCAATGGATCTCATTCCAATGCTTTTGAACTAGATTACTTGTAATCTACTGCATTTATCACCCATAGAAGTCAAGCGTCTTGAGAACTTTAGATAATAACCCTTTTAATTTTCTCATCATCTTAATTTTAATAACTGCATTAGCGAGGTACTCTTTATATTAAATTCAAAAGACAATAGGTTCTTAATCGCGCCTGTGTTATTGCTATGTATGATCATATCATCTACATACAGACATCTGATCATGATAGCATTATTCTTAACTTTGGCATATATAAAATCCACGAGAAAGAATGACTTTGTCAATTTCTCACACCATTGTTTGGTCCCTAGCTTGTCAATATAGGAACATTGCAAAACTCTGTTCAATTTCTTATGCCACTGTTTGTTCCTTAGCTTGTTAATATAGGGACATCCAAGTTAGTAGTATCCACCACCTATATCACTACTAACAAATTTTATTTTGAAATCCAATTGATTTTCAATTTTAGTTTTATGCATCCCAAAGATCACATATATCTGAAATAATCCTACTAACCTGGTCTTCTTTTTAGTGAAAGGAAAGTTTTCTTGTGATCTTGGACCATATGCACACCTCACATAGACCACAAATTGTGTAACCACATTCTGGAATTCAATCTAGGGTATTCATCTTCTTTAATACATGGAAAGCTACAAGATCTAATCTACCATGCTGTGAATTAAAAGAGTCATATAAGTGGAAGAGGAAGTAGCAGTTTCCTAAGCAGCAAATTCATCTTTATTCTACAAGAATGAACTTGTTGAATTTAAAGAAGCATAAATCCAATGCAATTGAGGAAATGAGCCAATATTGGTTCCTTTCGACCTCGGGGACATGTAACATATTGGAGGGTGAGGACCTTATCGGACGCGAACCCAAGTTCGACCGTACCCTTATCCACTACATCGTTGGAATAGAAATTCACATATGTCCATCCCCCAACACTTGTTAGGTATTAGCATGCTCTAATCATTACGCACCAAACAAACGTATGAAACACAATTTTTACATGAAAATGTGTTCAGAATAATATTTACACACGAACCAAATGTACCCTTAAAAGGCATGCAGCATGTACCCCTTAGCAAATATAATAGTCGTTAATAAACTACTCAGGACTCTTCACCAAGGTTGAATGGGACTTATACCTAATGCTGCTATTGAGCTTGAATCTGAGAAATGTAGGGGTCCTCATCAAGTTCTATTGATGCATTAGCAGGGGTGTGAGTTATCATTGGCTTTGCAATATAGGTCACTAGACTCCATCCAACGCCATCATCATCAGCACCATTTATTAGTGCTTCATGCATCATTTTTAGCACATTGTGCTTATAATTCCGTACAAAATCCCATTACAACTCCTTGATTTTTCTCCATACTAGCATTTAAAAAATCAGCAATCCGGCTTGGAATCGCATGAAACAGATCGGAACTGGTGCGCGACCAATCCAATTTCATGGGAAATTTGCGGCTTGGCCCTATTTACGTAAAAACTGGCCCTTCAGTTGAGATTTTCTTGTTTCTCCACCCCCTTTATCTATGCTCTGTTTTTGTGAAATTTGAAGTTTCTTCATTTGTTTTAATCACCTATCACATACACACAAAACTCTA